TTATTCTTATTATTATTATTAATATTATTATTATTATTATTGTTATTATTTTATTGTTATTGTTGTTATTGTTATTATTATTATTATTCATTATTATTATTATTAATAAAACTTAATTATTTTGATCTGCTTATTTTTATTGTAACTACTGGTAATAATTACTTGATTTGTTTAAACAAACAATAAATTATTTTTAATTGAATTCTGAGGGTTTTTTTTTCTTTAATGATGCAATAGGTTTAAGATCGTAAAATGTTCTTCAAATTAAAAACATAATTTAGTTCATACTGTACTGTAGATTTTAGACAATTCACAAGCAGTTCATGAGGACTACTGTAGTTGCTGTAATGTTGCAGGTTCAGCTATATATTATGCTATATATTCTAGTCATATTTCTGTGCTCATCATAAAGACAGCTTGCTGGTTTAGTAATCCATGCTACAGGCAGGAAGATTATCAGAAATGTGAGAACATAACATCCGTTGGCACACTTGTGCATTTTTGTGTTTGTTCTAAGTACTGTACTATACCACCTAGTCAAGTGCAATTGGAAATTGCAATGTTAGTTAACACATAATAGAGATGTTTAGCATGCTAATTGTACGTCAAGAACTTATTTTATAATAATATATATGTTTTATGAAATTGAGAATTTATCAGATTTTTTTTTGTTTTTTGTATTTGTTTTTTAGAATTGCAAGTTTGGTACTTGGTTAAGTACTGTATTAACTATGGTCTCTAGGAAAGATGTTACTCGCTAAGCAGTTGTACAATTAATAATAAATTTAATTTTGTTTTGATTTCTTATTGCTGGTCTTTGGTTCTTGATGGTCGTCTTACGAATATAATATAGAACCTACAATGTCCTTTCCTACATTATACCCAGGGGTTTTGGTAAGGCTCTGGCAAACCATCCTCCTAGACCACATCCAACAAATTCATACCTTTTCCATTACAGTATATTAAAATTTTCCTTCGTATGATAATATATAATCTTTATTTTCTTGATACTCATTCAATCAAATCAATCAGTCAAGTTAAGTCTGTATCCTTTACATAAAATAGCAAGGTACTCCCTTCCCACTAGATGCAGTATGTGTTAAACTATAGTGCTTCAAACCCTGTGGAATATGAACATACCTGTAGAACAGTTCTAGGCTTCACTGTTTTTATGGGGGTCAGAAAGAGGCACAACATTAACACACAGGAAACATAGTTTTGTTATTAGAGATAGGGTGCCAAGATGTCAATTATTGTAACCAAGGAGGCTCTAAACTATAGTACAGAAACATTTAGATACCCCACTGTGAATGTAGTTTAGACGCAGAAGGTGCATGATCTGCAAGAATTATTACAGCCTTCTGATTGGATGGGTTGAGTACAGGGTGATGATCAGTAGGTCTAAAAGACCTATCCATTCATCTTTTTGATTCACCCCTGACCACAGTGGCTGCTCTATATGAAATCATTTAAAAAATATAAATGTGTAGAATAATCCTAACAAAATCTTATTCTTAAGATAACCAGAGCGACTGTTCACCGGCCCATGCATTCCTCCAGGTTTAAATTCAGTAGGGTTTTTTTGGAAGAGCTAGTAAGATAGAAATTTTTAAATAATTAGGATGTTTATTTATAAAAAAAAATTATTTAGAATGTTGTACAAAATTAAAATAACTTAAAATTGAAAAAAATTCAATTTCTTAAAAATGGAAAAAAATAATTGAATACCAAGATGCAATTCGAACTCACAACCTTAAGACCACATCCTTAACTGACCGTGCCGTCCATGCAACATGCTGTATTAGTATTAATGGCAGTAATGTACAGTCCTTGCCCTGGGGTCAGCGCCTTGCGCGGACCCAAAAATTACAGTTGTACTATATAGTTGTTGACAAGGATCTCAACATCTTGCTATCATTTCGAACGTTCCTCTTAAAAATTATGATAGATAATAAAACATCAGAAAATCATTTACAGTACCGGTAGATCATATCTACAGTAAGAGCCCTTGAGAACTGCATAACATGTTGCCAACCAACTTTAGAAGCTAGCGAAAGTGCAGTACTGTAGTGTTTAATGCCAAACCGATGCACCATCAAGCTTATAGTGGTTAACAATGACGCAATTCAGTGTGTAACTCAGTAGCAATCTAATTTACATTAACGAGAGTTTTACCATGTCTCTAAGTGGCGATACTTATCACGTACAAAAAAGGGCATTAATGACCACTGTTTTTCCATTTTAAATACAGTAGTACTTTTTTGTAAAAAATAAACATCATTTTGTACAATTTGAACATACATTTGAAAACAAACTCACTAGAGTCATTTCCTGTTTTTCCTGGTAGTGTAGGGCATGACTTGCTAAAGAGCACAAGAATACCAGTAGGACAGCAAAAGTATGACCATAGATTGAAATCACTCCGCTAGGTTCATGATCAATTAAGTAATTTATACAGCATCCCTGTAAGCCCATTGAAAATAACAAGTGAACCTCTGCTTTTGTAAATATATCAACTCCTGCCCCAGGGTTTGGAAAGCAGGCACTCTGCTACTGCTCTACTGCTCCACTACTCAATGCGGCCCCCATTCTGTTCTCGTCAAATCAACTAAAAGAAAACAATGATCTCCTGCTATGATAGGTAATCACAGTTGATTGGAGAAACTTCTAATGACGTGTAGTGGAAAAGATTATGCGAGTGTAGTGTTTTTGTCTTATCTGTGACGTAGGACACCAGTCACATATGGTCAGCATTGAGTATTGAGTTGTTTACTGCTGGAAAACTGAAAAGTCGCTAATAACAATTACGGCATGTTTTGTTCAAAGGTAATTAGTGTTATAATCAGGCTTTATCGGAAGCCATGTTATACTGTAGTCTCTATGTCCTTTCCTGCTGGAGGTTAAACTCATGGGTGTACAGTACAGTAGCAACTAGAATAGATGAAAATGAACCACAAATTGCAGAATTTTAATTAGTTGCTTTAAAATACAACCATATTTATGCGAATAAACGCCCCGGGGCGTTTATACTTGAAGGGTTTTTGAGTGGTGTTTATTCGTGGGAGCTGGTGGTTTTTTTTTTGTGTTTTTTTTTGGTGTAAAATGGATACGTATACGCAAATAAAAGCCCCTTAATTTCACTGTACCCATATGTGGAATTACAACGCATAATTACCGTCAACATGTGTTCGTGATCATAAAGACTTGTTGATCCCAACCAGGTTTATAACAAATATAATTCTTCTACTGGAGTATAACTATTGTGTTGAGAATTATGTTTCATCCATTAGATTTCTTACAGTCACACTGGCGGGGAGTGGGGGAGGGGGCGTTTTTTTGAGAACAAAATAAACGCCTCGTGGTATTTATTCGATTGAGGAATTTATGTCAAATGAGGCTCTAGAGGGAGCATTTAGCGTTTATTCGAGTGGTGCGTTTATTAAGAAGGGCACTTATTTGAATAAATACAGTATATTGTATTTATATTGTATTGTATCATCTGCTCAAAAACGAGAACGATGATAATGACATTAAAATCTACTGACATGAATTCATAAAACTAAAGTCGTTGCATAAATAATGCGTTTATTAATAAATATAAAATTAGAGTATATTTCAAATGAATGGCTTCAACAAAATAATTAGTAAATTCCGGCACTCACTGCGTCGTCCGGTGGTCGTACGACGAATCCAACTCCGCTCCCTGTGAGTGCTAGACGACGTGACGCCATCTGTTTATTGTCGGTGGCGCTGTCTGAACGGATCTTCATTAAAAAAGATCCGTTGCGCGCGTGTAGTCGCGTTGCATTCTGCAAAGAATTGCATCGGCCGGCGACCAGTGAATGTCCGGCTTAACTCATCCTCTGCAGCTCTTTAAGTTCCTATTACAGCAGTATGCAGCTTATATACAAGCCACTCAATAAAATGTTTAACTTCAAGTAACAAACAACCAAAAAATGAATTGCCACATTCTTCAGAAGATGACTCTTGTGGCAACCATCAGAGGTCACGAATTTAATTGTCTCATTACAATTGGATTGGACTCGCATCGCAATATCGTTTCTAAGTACGTTAATTCAATAGGACACGTTCAATTTTCACTTGGCCTTCATAATGACCAATTATTAATGGTATTTAACATTTTAACACAGTTTGTGGTCAAGTCTAATAGAGACACGTAGGGAGGGTGAGTAAAGGACAGGGAACGCTGAAAAGCAAAATGGGAATGGCTGAGCAAAATTGACAAATTGGGCAAGGCAAGGAGAATGATGATTTTCATCCATTACATTGTCAAAAAAATCAATACTTTCATTTGTTTTATAAGTATAAGAAAAAGAAGTGGGATATTGGAAATATAGGTTAGGAAAAATACAATACAGTAGGCTAGAATAATAAGTTATGAAACTTTTGAGTAAAGTATTATTAATATGCTGTATTTTATATGTAATTAACTTGATAATACGGTTTTATAATGCAAGATTTAATATGATAAGAGATAGAATCAATACAAGATAGAATAAATTAGAATGAATTAAAGATGCCATACTGCAAGGTCGGCCTACTGTAAAATAGCATGATATACTGTAGGGTAATGTAAGGAATTAGGATAGATACAGTACTGTAGGTAAGATAAATACCATAAAATAAGGTCCTAAAAACGTAAGTTCATTTTATATAAGGTAAACTTTGCATGTGAACCCTCAAGAAAAGTCTAAGGGTTTTTGAGGTAGTTGTTTTTTTTTTGTTCCATTACTCTACATACATTCTTTACATTTGTTTTTTTTTGTTCCATTACTCTACATACATTCTTTACATTTGTTTTTTTTGTTCCATTACTCTACATACATTCTTTACATTTTTTTATGAAATGTGCATTTTTGTTGTATGTTCTATGATATATAAACAATGTTTCGCTGACAAAATTTGCACTTTAACTTCTTATAATAGCAAAATGATAGTAAACTAAGCATTATACAGTCACATTGACATTTTCTTTGCAGATTGTTTTCACTCTGCTTCAGAAGCTGGACCCAATGATATATTAAAATTATACAACCAGAAGGGCAACATAGTGAATATCTCACCGAGCTTAGAGGAGAATGGACCAGACTCGCGGTATCGGCTCGAGGTTGTGGCTATGAACTGTGATGGTGAGTTTTCCATTCATTTACGGTAATGATATTTCTCTATGCAACACAACTTAATATTACAGTCCACTCTCCCAATACTGACCTCCATCCGTGAGGTTTGGTTTTGTACAACATTTCTATTAAACCGTTTCCGAACAAGCCTGTTGTAGGCCAGCTAGGCCCACCGTTCCCTGTGGGTTTGTTATGACTAGCCTATGCAAAGCAAAATAAACATTATATAACATTAATACGTTGTACAGTACCTGTTGTTTTACTGTACTGCACAGCAAATTTAATTACCCAATAACATTTTATATTGTTTTTACGTGCATTTTCGGTATGATATGTTTTTCTAAACACATTCTTCATAGTCACGATGCCACTTGAATCGGTCGGTTGATTGTAAACGAGCTATGCCTCCTAAACTCTGCCTGCTAATATTATTGGTCTAGTTATTTCCTCTAGCGATGATTAAATCATTGTTTGTGAACTGTTTGTTCGTTTTGCAGAAGTTGATTTTTGTGTTCTGGACCGAATAATATGTGTGGAATTCGGAATTGGGAGAGATTCGGTTTTCGGAAGGCCTTTTATTAAAGAAAGAATAGGAATGATTTTTGGGACTACAGTTTAGCACGAGATTTGGTTTTTTGAGAAGTCAGTATTTGGAGCTTCCACTGTATTAATTTTTGTTCATATCCAATAATACTAAGCCAGACTATATCATGATTTTGACAATGTTTGATCCAAATTTGATGAAGTAGTGCGCTAACTTGTAGCATGCTTGGAAAGACACATGATGTTTAAAACATTATTCAGTGGTGGATCTAGAAATAGGAAATCGAGGAAGGCTCAGGGAACTTTTACACCTGGAGGGTCCAGACCGCTACAGCCCCCAACCATGCTGTGTATAGAATATGACTTTAACCAAAGATACTAGAAATACAAGAATTCGTGCCCAACGTAGGCGGCGCCCTTCTTTTTAACCATGCAAGTTTCCTATACTTCGTGCCCAACGTACAGGGCGCCCTTCTGTTGCTAAGTATATCCAGACGCAAAAGGCGCCCTTCCTATTCCACCTGTCTCTTATACACATTTTTCCACTAATGAAGGAAAACTTTTTCACTAAGAGTGCGTCCGGCCATCGATTTTGCGCTATTTGTTGTTTTCTAAACTGATCCATAGGCTTAATTGTGTGTTTTATAAAATACGCGACGACTTGGTAACAAAAGTTTGGTTGAATTTTTTTAGATTCAGCCGTAAGGGCGTCCCATTGTTTGTATTCCCACCATGCATTTCGGTGGAACACTATTTTGTGTGGAGAACTCTATCTTGTGTTTTAGTATCTTTGGTCTATATACACGGTTGATTCAATTTACTAACGTGACGTATCACAACATAAAGTGAAATTATTATAAACTCACCTTAAAAGGGTTTAAAATACCGCTAAAATAGAAAAATGACAACATTGATACCACAAACATTGTTTTTTTTTTTTATCACAACATTACTTAAAGTATAGAAAAACATACTTTTAGATGCCCAATATGGCAAATGAATTTGAATTTAAATGATATAAACTTGGGATAAACTGCTGAATTGAATTGTTGAGAAAATTCAAATCAGCTTCTGCTTTGCATGATTTTTTGAGTAGCTTTTCTAGCTTTCTCAACTCTGACTTGCTAACTACACTGTTGCAGCTTAAATTATGAATAATAGAACCAAAAGATCGAAGCAAAATCAAGATGAACACAATTTTTAACAAAATCATTTATTTGAATTTACTATAGTTTTCTTTTTCCTTTTTTAAAAATTAAACACTTTAACTACCAAGCCTTTTTTCTTGTTCACCAGGGGATAAAGGGCATCACCATAATGAAAATTATTTCCATCAGCTAGAGTGAAACACATACAAACATGCTTTAATTATTTTTAGATCAGTTTTCTTTTTCCTTTTTTTAAAAATTTAACACTTTAACTACCAAGCCTTTTTTCTTGTTCACCAGGGGATAAAGGGCATCACCATAATGAAAATCATTTCCATCAACTAGAGTGAAACACATACAAACATGCTTTAATTATTTTTAGATCAGTTTTCTTTTTCCTTTTTTAAAAATTTAACACTTTGACCACCAAGCCTTTTTTCTTGTTCACCAGGGGATAAAGGGCATCACCATAATGAAAATCATTTCCATCAACTAGAGCGAAACACATACAAACATGTATTTCTTTTTCCTTTTTTAAAAATTTAACACTTTGACTACCAAGCCTTTTTTCTTGTTCACCAGGGGATAAAGGGCATCACCATAATGAAAATCATTTCCATCAACTAGAACGAAACACATACAAACATGTATTTCTTTTTCCTTTTTTAAAAATTTAACACTTTGACTACCAAGCCTTTTTTCTTGTTCACCAGGGGATAAAGGGCATCACCATAATGAAAATCATTTCCATCAACTAGAGTGAAACACATACAAACATGCTTTAATTATTTTTAGATCAGTTTTCTTTTTCCTTTTTTTTTAAATTTAACACTTTGACTACCAAGCCTTTTTTTTTGTTCACCAGGGGATAAAGAGCATCACCATAATGAAAATCATTTCCATCAACTAGAGTAAAACACATACAAACATGCTTTAATTATTTTTAGATCAGTTTTCTTTTTCTTTTTTTTAAAAATTAAACACTTTAACTACCAAGCCTTTTTTCTTGTTCACCAGGGGATAAAGGGCATCACCATAATGAAAATTATTTCCATCAGCTAGAGTGAAACACATACAAACATGCTTTAATTATTTTTAGATCAGTTTTCTTTTTCCTTTTTTAAAAATTTAACACTTTGACTACCAAGCCTTTTTTTCTTGTTCACCAGGGGATAAGGGACATCACCATAATGAAAATCATTTCCATCAACTAGAGTGAAACACATACAAACATGCTTTAATTATTTTTAGATCAATACTTCCAGGTCCTTTCTTAAACCTCCAGGGTGAGAGTTTGTGTTCTGGCGACAACTGCCAGATAGCGTACATGCAATACAATAGTGGTGTGTTGGACAGGTGTGAATATGAACTACATCCCTGGCACCCTGAATGAATCCTTCGGACATTAACTTGGGGATAGGCCTCCTTGAATCGGCCATCAATCAGAATAAGCCTGACCAAATAATATCTATTTAGTCATACATGTACAGTATTCCTGCCTTTGGTCACATTAAGATTTGAACCGAGATACCTGAGATTGGAAAACAGGCATCCTGACCACCAAGTCATGTTGCACTTCTTTGATCTAATTAGCTCATACTGTGTCTTTGAAGACTGGACAGTATTCTCTATAGATTTGGGCAATAAGTAGGCCTCCTATTCATGTGTTGAATTAGCTTTGCATACAGGAAGGCAACTGAAAATTAAATATGTAATTACTTGTTGATAAGAATATGACAGGCTTCTTAGAACCATCAAAGGAGCCTCCGATTACTAATTAACAGACAGTCATTAACATCACTTTCTAATCACCTTTATGTAAATAATCATATCTGCTTCTACTATACAGTAGTGTAGAGTAGATAATTGATGGGGATATATTATCAACCAAAGTGTTTGTAATCATAAAACACCACTTTATCCAGTTGCCATATTGTCATTTTGTTGCTTCCTGCTCTCCTTTGGCCAGCGCACCATCATATTTTAATCTTTATGTTGGGATTTTGTATACTATCATGTAATGTAGAAGCTGTATGAAAGTGGTTTATTTATACACTTTTGTTGAATAGACAAATTATTCATTCCAGGAATTCAAAGAGTGGGAACACATAAGGGGCTAGACCCTTCATGAGTGGGGCTGAGGTAGGAAAAATGTATGACACCTCCTGGAAATGTTTTTTTTTAAATGTTTTAAACATTTTTACAAATTGGTTGAGGTGGGATGGTGGGGGGGGGGGGATGGCTGCCAGGGGGGGGGGGGATGTAGAAGCTGTATGAAAGTGGTTTATTTATACACTTTTGTTGAATAGACAAATTATTCATTCCAGGAATTCAAAGAGTGGGAACACATAAGGGGCTAGACCCTTCATGAGTGGGGCTGAGGTAGGAAAAATGTATGACACCTCCTGGAAATGTTTTTTTTTAAATGTTTTAAACATTTTTACAAATTGGTTGAGGTGGGATGGTGGGGGGGGGGGGATGGCTGCCACTAATGAAAAGGTATCAAAGTGCTTCAATGGGCTTTATGCAGTATACAACTACATTGCACATTGATCGAAAATGCATTTGATGGAGCGACAACCATTGATAAAGAGCTTTGCCAAAGACACAATAGTATAATTTATATGAAATAAGTTTCAAGACATATCAAAATGTTAAAAATGATTTCCACTTATTTAAAAAGTTTTATCAACATTTTTTTAATTGCTATGTTAAAACTAATTTAAATGTTTGTCATTGTTTTTGATAGCTTCTATTGCCAGTCGTCTTGGGTTTGACATGACTGGATTGGAATCTAGGTAAGTTACAGGCAGTTACATTTCTTAGCCAGGTGGTCCGTAACTAGGATTCCATAAGAAATTGTCTTGTGGGAAACTTGTGGGGACCCGGGGGCAAAGTCATTATACTAGAGCCAAGGATTCCTGCATGTAAATGATGAAGTTGGTCATCATCTTGATGGTTTATATGCAAATAGAGGGGGTGATTTATCAGACAGGGTTTTTTTTTTTAGAAGGAGGAGTCTAGCCAAACTAAAAAGCTTTCCTCCTACTTACAGGTATGTCAGTGTAAAAGGAACTTAGCTAATATTATGTCAGTTAAAACTATTAGTCCTTAATATATTTAATTTAAGTGTAGGCTCCTATGTATAGTAAAGCCTCTTTGTTTTGTTGTAGGTTACAAGAACTGGAAAAGAAGGTCAAAGTTGAGAATGGTGACACTCCATCTGTTGTCTATGACCTGAGAAACAAAGTAGAAAGCTTCAGAGAGAAGCTAGAGGTGAGCTCAAACTATAACTATAATAATAATACAAATAATACATGATGAAAGGTAATAATAATACTGTAGTTCTCCTGGTTTTTTCCCACCCCCCCCCCTATGAATGCAAAATTGGCCCGATTTTGGGGGTGGGGATGGGATTATACCTGGGGATTCCCTTCCCATGTGCATGAACAGAACGAAAATGACGATCCTTTTGCGAGGTGGCAGAAGCATTAAAACAACTGTCTTAGGATTCAATGGCCTATCCAAAACTGTATTCTGGTGAAGAAATCAGAGTTTACTCGACCATCAAAGGAAGGGAACACGCTAATTAGTAGGCCTAAGTGCCTAGCTAGAGAGGCCATATCTTGGTCTTACTTCGAGCTAGGCCAGCGTTTGCCTGAACTTTCTTGACGTAGGTTATTTTTTGCCCAGCAACAACCAATCTAACCAATCACGATCCAATCAGCGTACTGGGCGTGTCTCTTTAGGGACGGAGTGAAGTGTTGCCTTTTTTTTAGCCACAATAGCGAGCTTTGTTTTTTTTTAGCAACAGTAAACAACAAGAATTTACAAGAATGGGCTTTGTATTCAACTTTATGGCAAACCAATGTATGGTCTTTCAATTGGAAGAGTTTCAGGTCTGCCGAATTCAGAGCCAAATCCTTTATATTTTTTGAGCATTTGTTAAATTTGCCGACCTAGACCTAGGCATACTCACCTAAATTATACCCTGGGACTTTGGGGAAATGTCTGTACGCGAAGTTGGGCGTAAGGTCGGGAGATGGGATTATGCCCAAGGAACTGCGGTAATAACTGAAGTGTAGTCTCTCCATAGAGTGCATACATCCACCCTCTGCCTGAATACCAAATAATACCTACAGGAAGATTCCATTATTTTTGAGGTGTAAGCTTCCAAAAATGTTTTGAATTTCTGCGATCTTGACATTGTCATCATTTTAACTTTTCATACAAAACTTAAAAGGCCTCCTGGATCAAAATGAAGTACTCTTCTAAATTTTATGATGATCAGTTCATTAGTTTTTATGTAATCTGACAGACAGTGATAAATACACCCTCCTTGGTGGAGGTAATTTTTAACAATGTTGATAATGGAACGGTCCAGTAGACACCTCGTCAGAATGCTACTTAACTTGATGCATAGGTTCTTAGGTCCCTACCACCTCTTCATTCAGCAATTTCTACATTCACAATCTTACCTGTACTTTTGACATTTGAAAATTGTGTCTGATGTATGAAAATGTGTGCGAAATCTATGTTATACTTGTAGCTTGCATGTTACCTTCTTTTTATAAGAAAATGTTACAATTGATGTAACGATGTAGACTGTTTGCTTGTCCGTGGTTTAAGTATGCTATTAATCAATCATTCAATAAATTTATAAGGTATAGTAAACAACTTGCCATAATTAACTGTCTGTTTATCAAAGTGAGCTAATGTCCATTACAATATATACTTATCGTATTCTCTACTACCACTCTGTTAATTTGCCCCATTATTGCTTCAAAGAAAGAGCAGATTCTTTGAGTAAAAATACAAGAAGGTGGAAAATGTATCGTGTAAAACTGTATGAGTGATCGCATGTTTCCGTACATAATTTTCTGATTACGCTTGTAACTCAGGGTCAAATCATTGATCATATTATCATTCGTTCTCTAATCTTGGTCCCCTAGTTGGTGTAACAAACAAAAGCTAAGTGACAGCAGGTAGTAGCATATATCTAATCAATTTGCAAGTTTCAAAGTGAAGTTCATAGACCTCGGTGTTTGTGAACATGTACTTAGTGCTTGCGGTAAATTGAAGCATAAATTTGAATGTTGTAATGCAAATGATATGAAATAATTGATTAAATGCTTTAGTGTTACGGTAGATCTCCATGGAAACAGAATAAATCTTTTATTCATTTATCTACTCTTTATTATTTACCAATAAATTAGCAATATTATGCTAGTGAAAGTTTGTATAGTGACACACTGTACTTTTTTAACGAATGTTTTGATGAGATTGCAATAGACTGTACTTAGTTCAATTGCTTTTTTGAATTAAAGTGGCTAGTGATCAGCTACCACATTTATTCTATTAGTAAGTGAATTTGTATTAAAAGGCTCATTACAATAGATAAGTAAAGTGCTATACTGAGGGCAACCTCCAAAATTTTATTTTTGTGATTAACTTTTTTAATTAAAAATTGGCCATAGGCCTATTGGTAGGTTTTTTTTACATTCCAAACGTGGTTTCTAAACTCTAATAAATGTTTTGTGTCAGTATATTAATATTTTATGTATTTTCATATGTATGTGGTTAATTTTTATAAGAACCTTTGAAAGTAAATTTTAAATGCATTGTCTTTGAGTCTGACAATATACTGAAGTTAATTAGATAAAACATTTACATTTGCACCATGGATGAGTTGGCGAAAATTAAATAGAATTATGTGATACAAAAATAATAGTTAAATTAAATGTCATGCACAGCATAATAAGACCTCTGCACCTCAGTCATTGGACCAAATACAGTACCTAGGGAGTACATACTTAACACCATAGGAAAAAGTTGAATGATAATGTTGCAGCTAGTCATCACAGCATTGGTTTCGCAACAAAAGTTTGCAGTATCTTATTTCCTTTTCCTGCCTTCACTGCAGCTTGTCTTTCGCTTCTCAGATTCTATAATGATACTGGGATTATCTGTTGCTAATGATTTTTTTTTTTTTTTTTATCTAGGGAGTGGAGCATTTAAGTTGGATGGGATTGTTTAAGGACCTTGTGCGCTGCAAGGGTTCTAAACACTTCTACCAGAATGGAACTTACTTAAAGGCCTCAGAGGCGGACCAAAGACGCGTCTGGGAGAAATTCCAAAAAATGAGGTAAGAAAACAGAAGTTTAATTGTTTAGTTTTTATGTTCATAAATATTTACTCAAGATAAAACAGATTTTATTTATTTATTATTATTTACATTTTTTATTACTTTTTTAAAATGTCACTAAAATGGAAAAATCTACTTCACTATTGGTAAAACATACCCCACTCCTATCGCAAATATTGTATTACTGTACAGGTTTTCCTCCATGTATCACAATAGGTTACGTATATCCCTGGGTGTCTATTATATTCTTTTCAAATTTTTTGTAAAAGAAATGAAATGTTTTATTTTATTATATTGAATTATAAGTAGTTTATTGAATTTCACTTTATATTTAATTTCACCTTGTTATCTCACTTTTTCCTTATATTCAAATAAGATGTCTTAGTTATTCTTTAAGGTTAATAAAAGAAGAAAAATTAATCAAAATGTTATATTTTATAAATCAGAAATAATTGAATTATATAATATGTTTATCTGTCATCTTTTTAATATCCTTTAAAATAAAAACTGATTAGCTGTTTTCTTGTTAGGCCTATCCTTATACATATATTTATTTTAATGGTTATATTTACTACAGGCCTATGTTTAATGATTTTGTACCTTATCTTACTATTATTTTTCATTTTTAAAGAAGGAAAGAAAAAAAAATATTTTACAATAAGTTTATTTGAATATTGAATCTTTATTTGAATCTATAGTAGTTTAAGTTTGCTTTTAATAAGTCAGAAATATATTGTCAGACCTTCCTATCGTTTTAGATAGCTTTGCCCCCTGATTGCATAGTCAAGAGCTACTACCGGTCTCTTTACAGGCTTACAATTAAAAAGACCATAAAATATGTAATGTTATTAAGAGCAAATATATATTATTTTAAAGTTTTTATAGTTATTTTGGGTTTTTATGTCTACCGCCCTATCGGGGGTGCAGTAGACACTATGATTTCATCTACCAGTTAACCCTGTAAAAGCAAGTGAAGCCAGTGGAGGTTCGTGATGAGTACTAGAATGAGATAGGGGCGCCTTCTTAAAAAACAAATAGAGTTCAAAAGTTTAACAAAATTGCATTCAAAACTCGAACTAGAGGTGAGATAACTGATTCGCCATTCAAATAATTAAGTAAATATTTTTTAAGTATAAGGCAGTAGACACGCTGCTGCTGGGAGGCTACAGTATTTTTCCTCTTTGGCACAGCACCAGTGTAGCTTTATTTTCATAAATGTTAACAGAACAAAGATTTACCTCTTTAAAGTTCAAGTTCAAGCTTTGGTTCCTTTTATTTGTCACGTACAAATATCCAAGGTTTAAATACAAAGTAATTGCAGGTACTACTGGATAAATATACAAAACTTGTAAAAATAGATACTAAAATAAATATAAATCAATGATACAAACTTAATTAAAGGACTGAGTTTAATGAATTTTGTGCTTAGTACTATCTTTGGTGTCTTGCACATTATGTTAATGAATTGCAGACAGGAGAAATGATAATATAAGGCGACACTTTTTATGCAGTACCTTGTTTAGCGAACCCACTGCCATAAATAAAATTGTATTTTTGGCCAATTTGCACACCAGCCACTAAGAAAAAAAATAGAAATTTCTGAAAAAAATATAAGTTTTTCTTTATTTGTATTACGACCACCGCTCCAAAAATAAGATATGTATTTTTTCCTAATTATAAAATGTAAAGCATTTAACCATCCCATAATACATTGTTTACATTCAACAATAAAAAATTTTTTTTATTTATTTATCCGTCTGGAATTTTTGGCAAAACCATTTGATAATAAAACAAAATTTTATTTTTATTTTCTTCTGCCCTCCCCTGTTCGCAAAACAAGGTATGAAAAGTCTTGCCTAAACTGTTTGTATTGAGTTAATAAACTTTTTAGCTTCCTGTTGCTAATAAAAAGGGTAAATGTAGGGTATTGTAATAAATAACCCATAACTCACAGCGTCATTGTCCTAAATTGCGCATGGACATGGTCTGTGACACCCTAGCCGCCGTAAAAAGGCGCTATATTATTAGCTTTGTGTTTACATCATTCCATAACTAACAGGCAGAAATGAACCATCGTGGTAACCGCCCCCTACTCTTTCGAAAGGTGTAATGGGTTTTTTGAAATTCATGCAAGCCAATTGTGTCCATTTTAAGTCCTTAACCAAGAAGACATGGTTCTACATTACCAATCAAACCCTGGGAAAGGTAGGTTCAAACTAGCCCCGACGTCAAGGCTTAATAGCAGCACCACTGCCTTACCACTTGGCTACTTGACTTGGCCAAAAAACAAAAATTTTCTTCAATTAACAGATGCCTATATTATTTACCCAGAGGTGACGGAACTAGAGGGTTATGGAGAGTAATGTGTGACCGGAAATGGTCTGCAGTCAGTTGGTTGTTACCATGCTCCAGTGATGTTGGAGTATATAGTACAGCAATATTAAACTAGGCCTAATGAATGAATAAATTTCGGAGGTTTGTCGGGTAGTGAAATGATTATTTCACATTTTAAGTGCTCCCTAAATTCATAAGTGTA